AACATCATCATCCATATCCCCCAAGCCCTTCATAACGGCCCGTATGATGCCATCAATCATATCGCCATCCTGCAGAAGGAGGTCCTTTCTCACGGCAACAACATATCGAAGACCAACCATGCCACCATGACACACAGCCCAGACAGGGCGCTCTAATTCGAGGTCTTCCTGCATCACCATGCGATATAGGATACGGTAGATATCGTAAACCGACTTGGAGGGGATATGCTTCAAGGCGGAGCCGAGAGTTTGCCCAATAGTCTCCCTGATAGGGGCCACAGAGGTGTCCGAACTGTAGTCGGTGAAGCGGTCCAGCATCAAGACACAGCAAAGTCGGCAGGCAAGGTCGTCCAGCCACCTCTTGTTGAGTGACTCGTTATCATACCTGCCCTTTCCACGAACGCGCCCAGCACCCCCACCATGGACCCTGATAACTTCTCTCAGGCCCATTGCAGCCCCATGGCGTGTCTCCCACGAAGGATCAAAGAGGTCTATCTTGAGAAAGTCGCATAATCGTTCATACGGCCACTCAGCACCTTCCAGTACATCTTCGACCTCCAATTCTGATTTGATGGGGATCACTGGGCCTTTGAATTCACTGACAACCTTGGTGTCTTCATCGACATCAGTCGGCCGGTCCAGGTTGAAGTAATCGTTCATCTTGCCGTTCTTTTTGGACTCTCCTTCAGCCATAGGCGTCTCGTCTCCAATTAAAGACTCGGATCCAGCCGTCGTTGAACGTCGCAGAGAAAGGTCACCGAATCCACCTTTGCCTTGAGAGGCTTTCATAGCTTCTCTCTTTCGTTTTCGTTTTAACACGTTGAGTTGTCTTGAGCTAAGTTGCGAGTCTTCTCCGCCTTGACTCTGCGATATGCTGTCACTTCGGGCTAGTCCGTTACCATTGCTTCCGTCTATGGGAGTCATGGGTAGGGTCTGGCTTTGTGCGACAACGGGCATCTCCTCGTCTTCAAATTTGCGTCCCAACAAGCCAAGCCGGCCCAATAGAGTTTTCTTTTGGTGCTCTAGTCTCGCTTGAGGATCCAATGAGGCCAAGCTATATTCGATACCACCTCCTCGGAGCAACTCCCTACCATAAGTCAAAATTGAGTTGACTTCAAGAGATTCAAACTTGAGCAGGTCATGGTCATGGCCAGTGAGGGAATTTTCCTTGTCGGTCTCCTCTTTCTTGATGTGGCCATTTTCGCCAGCATTCTCTTCCTTCTTTGGCTCCGATGGACCATCATCCTCGTTTGGGTCGTACAGAGGCGCGTTTTCACAGATCTTGCCAATAGCCTTGGCGGCCGTGCTGCGAGTTTCCCAGTCCTTGTGGCGAAGGTAGGGGACAACGCGGGATAGTAGATTGAAAAGCTCATCGGGGTGTTGCTTTTGCCAGTCGGCGAGTTGGTTGACGGCGGTTTCTCGTATAAGCCTGGTGCTCCCCGTTTCAAGGATTGTCACCAACCTATCCAGTCTAGATGCCATTATGTCGGATTTGAAAAGAAGAGAAAATAAGTAAGTAAAGTATTAAATGATTAATATGACAAGCCAGCTCCGACGATGGCGCTGAGTGGCGGAAACAGATGAAAGCGTCGCTATCGAGGTGCAGTTACCGGACAATCGGCCCTCGCACTGCACCCCCCAGGAGGCGACGGTTGATGTGCGGGTGATCGCTGGTTAAAGCTCAAGTCAGACAATGCCCAAGTGGTTTGGTGTTGATGTGTTGATGTGATGTATAGGGATGGGCCGGAATGTTGTTCACTTTGGACACAATGTGTCCAAGTATACTGGATACGCTGCAAGCTCAGATGGCCTGCAATGCGACTTGCCTTTATGAAATGGCATATAGCTAATTCGAGGACGGAGTATATGGTCTGGGGTATCGAATACAAGAGAAAGTATCGAATGGTGAGAAACGGGAAGAGGGTGCACACTTTAGCCCCTCTCTATGTGCAAAATGCAGCCGTTCTAGATACTCCCAGACTCCCAGGTACAAACTTATGAATATGAATTTGTGAGTTATCAGATGCGAGTTGAGGCAATCGCGACTGCAGTGATTGCACCTGTAGGCAGATGAAGAGCCAATGAAGAGGCCAAGGAGCAGCAACTCACAATCCGCTCAGAGTGTGGCGGGTGCGGCGGTGCAAGTGTGGATGGAGAGTCAAACAGCGTGCTGGCTTGCTGACTGAGCTGAGCTGAGCGGACTGGGCGGCTCTAGGGGACGGAGGCGACGGCGCGGGAGAAATCGAGTGGAGGGCAGGCCCGGTCTTTGTATAATGTGTGTCCTGTATTTTTATACACGCCAGCACGCGCCGCCCAGGACGCCAACCAACGGTTTCTGATGCTGCGTTTCGCTTAATTTCCCTCTTGGTGTGGCTAGCCCCATTTTGTTCCAGCAGCAGGCTCCGCTCGGGTGCCCCAGGTGCCCCAGGTGAGAGGGCCAGGTGCCAGGTGCCCAAATCCTCAAGTACTCCGTACTGTACGGAGTACGGAGTACGCAGCCTTGAAGCAATGGTACTCGCGTGCCAGCCCAGCTGTCACCCATCTTGGAGTGCGCCCCAGGTACTGTGTGGATGCAGGAGTACTCCGTCGTGCCCGTACTGTACTGTACCTACATGGTAGTAGGTATGGATTGTCTGGCTCTGCGGCGGCCAGCACGCAACCTGAAAGCTTGGGCCACACCAAACTTGCAGTCTCTTCAGTTCCCTGAGCATGAACATTGCATGTTGCACGGGTAGAGCTGTCCTCATTTTCTCTAGTACTACTACATTGTCGTTGAGGCTCGATGCTTATTTATGTCTGTCCCATGGGTTTTTCAAAGTATTGTATTGTGCATATTGGTGGCTTCCATAAGCAATGCTCCAGACTCTTGCCCCGTCGTCTGTACTCCCGTACCCATCCCGTGCATACGGGAACGGAGCAATTAGGGAGGAAGGCACGCCCTGCAGGCAGAAGAAGTGTTTGATATCGCCGCATGGCAGCCTTTTGGATTTTGAGTTTGTGTCGTTTGTTTTTTTATTCCAGGTAGTAGTCATGCACTTTTTTTAAGGTTTTACTTCTGATCTTATTGTCGGATTTGCGGCTGGGCTAGTCTCTAGCCCTTGCCGACCGGGTTGCTGATAGCACTCCGAATGTTTTCACGATTTTTTTTTTTGTCTTCCGCCAATCCGCCCACTTCCCATTCGCTCATCTGTGGACCCCTGAGAATATGACACCTGGCGCACAAAGCATTTCAGACATCAACCCGTTTGCATCATATAACATCATATGTACATACTCCATACATACTTTGTACAAAGTACCGAGTATCAACGCTGCTTCACGTCCATGTCCTCGGTTGCTTTTCGTCCCGTTCGGCTCGTCCCATGTTGGTGCATTCACCCTACGTTTTCAAGGTTTGGCCTGCAGTGGCCATTTGCGTCTAATTTACGGAGTACTACTAATGCACGGCGGGTTCTTCGGCTTCTCGGGTACGCAGCACTGTACTCTTGACACTCTACTCGGTACATACTACTACCACCTACGGTACCTACCTACCTAGGTATTTTGATCGCTGCTGTGGAACCCTTGGATCGTGTATGGAGTACATGTAGAATTTCCGACCCGTCTGGCGGCTCTGGCACGGAATGCCTGGGGGCTGGATCAGGACATCTACTCCGTAATAGACATGAATATCTGCTTCGATGCGCTCTTGTGCTGTGGGCAGCGTACTGCCTCCGTTCCTGAAGGGTTCCTGAAGGGATGATGCTCTAAAGTGCACTCCGTACTCCGTACCGTGGTCGGTTATCCAGGGTGCTGTTCCTGGTCTGTGCCGAAGCACTTGGAAAATGCTCCGTACTATTTCTGCCTTTAGCAATTTTGGATAATGCAGGCGAGACATGCATTGAGCCAGGCCTGGAGCCGTGCGGCTTACACGTGTGTAATCAGGAGTACATAAGTTCTGCTTTGTAGACCTTGGAGGATATCTTGCCCAAGTGTTCAATGTGACTGACGACTTGACGATGGCCAAGGTTGATCTTCTACTCCAATATCAGCGTGGGTTCATCGGGACCTATTCTCTTATCGGGGCCGATTCGCTCGAACACACGAGGCCTAGACATTAAATGCCTTTCCCGTCAGCGCGTGTCCCATATCTGCCACACATCGAGATGGTCTTGCAGTGAGACCACCATCTACCAGGCGCCGGTCTGGTGACCTAGTGAAATATGCCACGGCCGCGGGTTCAGATACAAGAGACAAAAACAGCCACTTGCTCTGTACAATGCATGTGGTAAAAGGGAAACGGAGAGAGAGATTCGTGTGTACGGAGTACATACTCCCGTATGGAGCACAGCTGCGCATTGTAACATCGCCGAGCGGGTCTTGGTCGCAACTGCCGAGCCAGGGTGCGGGATCGACCAGGCTACGTATTTGCACTGAACGAGTGTTTCTTTACATGACCATGGAGATAGCACCAGTGTTATTCGATGGGTTTCTTTCAATCCCGGTACTCCTTATTGTCTACAGGGCAGTCGCCTTCTTGTTCTACTTTGAAACTATCACGGATATTTTGGGCTTGCTCAGGTCTGTTCCTCTTTTTCGTACCAGTTGTGACACTCCGCGATCACCCTGCCAACTGTCTGAAGCTACATTGTACATCAAGCTGTCACCTCCTAGTCACTTCATCTTCAACACAAGCAGAAGAAAAAGCATGGACTCGGGCGTCGCTGAGTAATTTTCATTGGAACTCCCGACAACCAGGAAGATGGGAACAGAAACACAGGTGGTAGAAATGGTATAGGGTAGCCAGAAGGGTACCAAACGGGAATTGTGGCCTCAGGCATTCAAACCCCCTAGCTTGTCCCTCAACGCGACCTCCCGCTGCTTAATCGCGATAGGCGAGAGACGCGTCGCACCTCATTGAGAAATCGACCTCACTCCATCACAACGAGTTTTAGGGCCAGGTTCAAACTGTAGCTCCCTGGTCCCTCGGATGTTGCGCGTCAGCGCCAGCGCAGCCCACCATGTATATCAAACAGATCATTATCCAGGGCTTCAAGAGGTATGCTTCACACGGTTGTTTGCTCGAATATGCGGCTGCAGTGCTCTAACCCTGCGACAGTTACAAGGAGCAAACTGTTATCGAGCCCTTCTCTCCCAAAACGAACGTCATCGTTGGCCGCAATGGCTCCGGAAAAAGTAACTTTTTCGCGGCAATGCGATTTGTCCTGAGTGATGCATACACTCAGATGAGCCGCGAAGAGCGCCAGGGTCTGCTCCACGAGGGTTCAGGTTCGGCAGTCATGTCCGCGTACGTCGAGATCATTTTCGATAACAGCGACGATCGTTTTCCTACAGGCAACAAGGAAGTTGTTTTGCGCCGAACTATCGGACTGAAGAAGGATGAGTACTCGGTGGACCGCAAGGTCGTTACCAAGACGGATGTAATGAATCTCCTCGAGGCCGCGGGATTCTCACGCTCGAACCCCTACTACATTGTTCCACAAGGTCGTGTCACGGCGTTGACCAACATGAAGGAGTCTGACAGACTGAATTTGCTGAAAGAAGTTGCTGGCACTCACGTGTACGAAGCACGTCGCGCTGAGTCACTCAAAATCATGAACGAGACCAACAACAAGCGAGAAAAAATCGATGAACTACTGGAATATATCAAAGAGCGACTAAGCGAACTTGAAGAAGAAAAGGAAGAACTGCGAGGCTTCCAGGACAAGGATAGGGAGAGGAGATGTCTTGAATACGCATACCACCATCGGGAGCAGGTGACCATCCAGTCTGCTCTGGAGGATATTGACAATGCTAGACAAGATGGTCTGGACACCAGCGACTCAAGTCGTTCAGAATTTTTGAAGGGAGAGAAGGCGATTGCAAAACTGGATGCCGAGATTCACAACCTGCAACGGGAGTTGGAGCTCCTGCAGATCGATCGTCGCCAACACGAAGAAGATAGGCGAGATGGTGCCAAGGCTCTAGCCAAAGTCGAACTCAAAGTAAAGGACCTGAAGGATGGACAGTCTGCTCTAGAACAAGCTCGTTCGCAGCACGAAGCCGAACTGCAATCGGTGCAGGCGGAGATGTCTGAGAAAGAAAGTCAGTTGGCTAAAATTCTGCCTGACTACAATAAAAAGAAACAGCAAGAAAGTGATGTGAGAAGGCAACTGGATACGGCTGAGGCATCACGGACTCGGCTCTTCTCCAAGCAAACTCGCGGTTCACGTTTTAAGAACAAGTCAGAGCGCGATGCCTGGTTGAAGTCTGAAATTGAAGAGTTGAACATGACAATGAGCACCCAGAAGGCCAACAAGCTGGAAGCCGAAGAAGAAGTTGCTAGGGTTCGGAAATCCATTGATCAGACGGAGAAGGAGGTGGCTGATTTACGGTCTCGTCTTGCCAACTGGAGTGGCGACCGAGTCCGGTTGGCAGAGGAGGCAACGCAAGCCAGGGCCCATCTGGATAAGTTGAATGACGAACGGAAGCTTATCCGTCGTGAAGAAGACAAATTAAATTCTGTCATTGCCAATGCCCGGCAGGAGAAGGACCAAGCCGAAAGGGAAATGTCACACACCATAGATGGTGCAACAGCCCGCGGCCTGGCTACCATTCGTCGCCTCAAGGCGGAGCAAGATATCCCCGGTGCATATGGAACACTGGCCGACCTGCTTGAGGTGAATGAAGCCTATCGACTGCCCGTTGAACAGACTGCGGGTGCTAGCTTGTTTCACTACGTTGTTGACAACGCTGATACTGCGACATACCTAGCCGATATTCTGTTCAAGCAACGTGGTGGTCGAGTTACCTTCATGCCGTTGGCCCAATTACGACCCCGACAAATAACTTTCCCCCGCTCCAATGACGCCGTGCCCTTGATAAGCAAGATTCAGTATGATCACAAGTTTGAAAAGGCGTTCCAGCAAGTGTTCGGCAAGACTGTCGTCTGTATCAACTTAGCTGTGGCTTCCCAGTATGCTCGCAGCCATGGGGTAGATGGTATCACGGCCGAAGGTGATACTACCAACAAGCGAGGTGCAATGACTGGTGGTTATATTGATCCTCGCAAGTCACGTCTGGAAGCAGTGCATTCCGCGAACAAATGGCGACAGGAGTATGAGAGTCTAATAGCACAGTCTCGAGATTTACGAAGGCAGATTGAGCTCAAAGATCAGGAAATCACAGGTGCCATGTCTGAGCTACAAAAGCTGGAGCAGCGGTTACGCCAAGCTGATGACGGTTTTGAGCCACTGAAGCATGAGTTGCGAAACAAATCTGCCCATGTTGAGAACGAGAGATCCCGCCTCGACGCTGCTTTAGTTCGCCGGGATTTGGTGGACAAAAACCTGAATGGGTTTCTGGAAGAAATTGCAGCACACGAAGCTGAAATAGGCACTGAGTTTAAAAAGAATATTACTCCTGCAGAAGAACGAGAGCTGGAGCAGCTGAGTACCCTCTCGCAACAGTTGCAAAAGCAGTGGAACGACTTGAGCAACCAGCGAAGAAAGCTCGAAAGGACAAAACAATTTCTCGAGGTTGATTTGCGTCAAAATCTTCAACTGAAACTTGATCAACTGAGCAGTCAGGCCTTCGAGAACTCGACATCTGGTGGGTCATCTGGAGGTATGAAAGAGGCACAACGCGAGTTGAAGAAAGCTCAAAAGTCACTCCACGCTGTCGAAGCCAATCTCCAGGAGACTGAAGGGAAAATGGAACAGCTTGTTGGACGGATTGACGAGCTCAGTGGAGAGAAGTCGCAGAGAGAGCAACGTCAAAACGAACTCTCTACAAGAATAGAGAAGCAGCAGAAGAGGATGGAGAAGACAATGCAAAGAAAAGCGCTTCTTACAACACAGGCTGCCGAATGTGCCAAGAATATTAGAGAGTTGGGCGTGCTCCCAGAAGAAGCATTCGACAAATACGAGAATATGGAAGCCAATACGGTGAGTTTGATCGACCAACGTGGCCGTTGCACGATACTAATGAATCAGTAGATCACCAACAAGCTGAAGCGGGTTAATGAAGCTCTGAAGAAGTACAAGCATGTCAACAAGAAGGCATTCGAGCAGTATAACAACTTTACGACGCAGCAAGACCAGCTCATGAAGCGACGAAAGGAATTAGATGCGTCACAAGATTCAATCGAGGAGCTTGTCGAGCATTTGGATCGACGTAAGGATGAGGCCATCGAGCGTACCTTCAAGCAGGTCTCCAAAGAGTTTGCAACCATCTTCGGCAAGCTAGTTCCCGCTGGCCATGGACGTCTGGTCATCCAGAGAAGAGCCGATCGCCGCCAGGAACCTGAGGAGTCTGAGGAAGAGGCGCGCGGCAGTGTCGAAAATTACACTGGCGTAGGGATCAGCGTTTCGTTCAACTCCAAGCATCTGGACGAACAGCAGAGAATCCAACAACTCAGTGGCGGACAAAAGAGTAGGTGACCTTCGTGAATCTACAATGAAAGAACGCACTAACCGTCAATCACTAGGTTTATGTGCCCTTTGTCTCATCTTTGCCCTTCAACAAACTGAGAGCAGTCCCATGGTCATTTTTGACGAGGTAGATGCAAATCTAGACGCCCAATATCGTACCGCCGTTGCCGCTTTACTAGAATCGATTTCTAACGAAGCTGGCACACAATTCATCTGCACCACTTTCCGTCCTGAAATTGTCCACGTGGCAGACAAGTGCTACGGTGTGACGTTCCACAATAAGACAAGTTCTATCAATTGTTACAGCGAGGAAGATGCTCTGAACTTTGTCGAGGGGCAAGCCAAGCCTACCGGAACATTGTAGACGAATGGTCAATTAGGGAGAAGGGGGGAGCGGGAACGGCAAGGAGGCGGGTTGTTGTGTTTGCTTGCATAAAATATTATGAGGACAAGGTGCGGAGTTGGGGCGTTGAGGAAACCTCTTTGGGAAAGTGTACTAAAGTTGATGCTGTGGCTCGTAACGCTTGGTGCGTGTACATGTGTCTTGGTGATATCTTGTTGGCCTTTTGAATTTTCATAGAGCCCTAGGGCTATCGCCGGTTACGAGGACATAAAGCAGCTCGAGAATCAAGTTGCGAAGAAGACTCACATTTGAAGCGAAATGCGTCGAGACGTGGTGCAACCTGCATGGGAATGGAAGACGTAGCCATTGTCTTGACATGCTGTACAAAGATGTTACATAAATAATTTTACACGATACGCCTTGCAACCAGGCGTGCTTTATATGATTTTGCCACCGTTCACCCATGAAGTCGTCCCCTTCGATAGAGTACGCTATCAATCGCGCTGCTGAGCTTTGGCCTTGGTCTACCTATCCGACATCATGTTTCGCACACCACGGAAGTATTCAGGCGACAGCTCCTTTTCCAATTCTTCCCTTGTCAACCACTTGAAGTCGGTGTATCCGAAAGGATTTCCCTTCAAATCAGCCTGGCCAGCCATTATTCTTCCCTTGAGGAAGAAGGTCTTTTGACCGCGGGTCTGAACGGTGCCGTCGGCAGTCTGGACTGGTTGTTTGACGACGTGGGCAACGGGGACGCGGCCGACGATCCAAGTATTCATGTTTACTCCAGCAGCTTGGTCCAAGACTCTCTGGGCGGCCTAGTTCGCTCATTAGCATCCAGCGTCACCACACACGGACCAACAGTCATGTGTGAAAAGAATATACCTCGTGCAGGTTCTCGTCCCTGGAAACAACATCAGCCGGGAACATCCACCCATCCTTCCCCTTGACAACCAAATACAGCGTCCTTTCAAGCTGCCTGTCCAATCTCTTCACGTCGCCCTTTTTATCGGCCTCGGTCTCTCTCTCTACGGGTCTTTCGACGGGCACCACGTCCTCGGCAGCGATTACCTCGGCATCGTCGCTGACACGGGCCTCTGCATCCTTGAGCAGACTGTTCAGGACGCTCTCCTGGCTGCTGAGTTGATCGCCAACCTTCAGCTCGTCATCCCACGCCTTTGAGCCCTTGCCATTATACACGCCGATATCCTTGGCCACCGTGCCTTGGCGCTCGCCGACCTTGAGGCTCCAGTCCAAGCGTCGCGCAGTGTCAGGCTTAAAGTAAATGCTAGTGATGAAGGGAGTGTTGAGGCGCTCCTCCAGACGTTTCTGGTAGAAGAAAAAGGCGTTTTCAAAAGGGTGAAGCTTTCGTGTCAGGAGAGGAGGGCGGGTGAGGATGAGACCGGATCGCACGTCGTATGGAGGCGTTGCTCGCGCAGGAGGAGGCGCCGCGGCATCTGGTGATAGGCTGGTTGTCGCCGCTGTGGTAGAGGAGTAGAAGCGGGTGGCGATTCGAGTGCTCGTTGCGCATCTTGAGCAGACGTTTGGGGAAGCTGTGGTGTCGTGTGAGGTTAGTTTTCTTGGGTCCTTGTAGAAAGTGCTTCCCAATTGATGCTTGCAGCTTGAGACGGCGATAGAACCCTAACCTGATAAGGCGCCTTGCAGAGCACGTCGGCCCCTACTTGAGGCAGTCATGATAGGCTGCCTTTGCCTCAGCGTGGGTGGCCTTGAAGTTCGGGATGTCGAAAACGCCTTCGTCGGCGTCTCGTACTTTTTTTTGGTCCCTCGACCTTGGCAGCAAGCTCCTGGCCCTGGCGCCTTCTTAGGAGGGCGGCTTAGTCATTTTTCAAACTTGTTCTTGGCACCGGTTAGTCCACCCCTGGGGCGGGAATTGTGAATGCCTGAGGCAAAAACACATACCGTACAGTCGGTCTAGTTACTTCCTCAATCTCTCCCCGAGTCCAATTTCTTCTCCCTTCTCCTCTTTCATCAAGGCACCATTTTCCTTATCGTCAAGACCTGTTTCCACCCCCAGAACGTCCTGATCATTTACGAGTGCCGAGAGTGAATTCCAGAGCAGTCTTTTTCGCTAGCGGTGCCTGCAATTTTTATTACTTACCGGGTTCTGTTAGATAGATACTGCTGACACACTACCCTCGAGCGTAGTCAGCCTTTTTCTCTCCTTTTTTTCTTTGTGGCCCGTCTACCCCACTATGGACTGGATTACGAAAAACCAGTGCCAAAGGGTGTAAATGATCCATGGAGTTCGTACGACATGATCCGAGACCACCTGGATCTGGGAGCTGTTTTTGACACGGCTTGCTGGTTCTCCCCTGTTGGGAGGCCATGTTGTCGATTCAGCGCATCCCACTTATGAAATTGTCGAGCTTCATGGCTAAATTTATTTAGGTGTCAAATTACTACTCTTGCTATTAGAGCGATCGAGTATCGTGACCATCGTCAATGTAATATATTCATCTTCCGGCCCTTCGGGCAGCGCCCAGTGCATCATTCAAACGATATACAATACAAGAAGTCATCCTCATCGCTAACAACATCAATGTGCCTCCCGATACTATGACCACATACAACCAACATACAACGCGCCCGTTACGCCGCCAATTCTAATCTCCAAGTGGAAAACGAAAGAGCCCCATTTCCTGGGGAAGGTACAAAAAATTACCTGGGTATCTAACCACGAAAGGCTACCTTTTTAAGCCTGAAAACGCCGATGCCAACTGAAATGTTTCATCTTGTACCAACAGTGATCAAGCTGATAGCTCGGCAACCGCCTGTGCTACTTCCTGGGTGGCTCGTTTCTCCCACGTCCGTCGAGATTCTTCATTGAGTGACGCAGCACCCTTTACCTCGTCGTAAAGCTTTCGAGAAATATCGCGATTAATGGTTGCATATTGTTCTGTTGTTAGCTTCTGCGCCCGCCAGTGAGGTCGCAAAGCGGATTTAACAATATCATTTATGCTCTTCTTTTCTTCCTGCGTCATCGTCCATCGCGTTGGCGAGCCTTCTTCAGTTTGTGGTACTTGATGAGCTCGTCGTGGCCGAGGTTGCCGCAGTTCTAGCGGGCGTGGGTCGACCTTGGTTGAACGCGAATCTGAATCTCCATGATCGCTGTTGGATCGGGTAGGAGAGTAATTTGCGGGAGGATATCGTGGCTCGATGTGTGTGCTAAGTGATAGGGTCGGAGAGGTAGGCCGACCGTTAAGGCTTGGAAGTGGTGGTGGGGTCAACGATAGAGCTCGAGGGCTGCTGTGGTTTGAGGGCGAGGGCGAGAGGGCGGGAGAGGATGCTTCCGGAGGCACGCGCCGGTTTGGAGTTAATACTGGCGTCTCGTCCTCGGACAAGGGATTGGGTTCTAACTCCTTAAGCAGTGACGACACCAAGGGCGTCGCGCTCTCCATCCGAGTCAAGCCGTTTCTCAGCGAAGACCCGTTTGTGCCGTTGATACCATTAGTACCATTGATTCCACTGGTTCCAGTTGCCGTTGCGGCGGTGGAGGCTGTTGTTGGGCGTGCACTAGATGGGCCGGATGTAGAAGGTGAAGGAGCAGAGGCAGAGGCTTCGGCCTGGGTGGGTAATCTCCTAGTTCGTGGGCGTTTCAATTTCCTTTCTGGTTCTTGCACTGGCTCGGCCGGAGATGCGGTGACAGATCGGCTCTTTCGCTTACGAGTTCCGCTGGTTGTGACTTCAGCCTCTCGAGCACGATCGAACGCACCCCATGCACGCCTTTCATCACGAGTTTCCTCGACTGGCGGCGGCGGCGGTTGTAGGCGCTCGCTGATTTGTGGCGGAATGTTGCTCGCAAAAGTCTCACGAGCACCGAGACGATTGGCGATATCCATGCGTTGTCGCCATCGGTCCAACTCCCGGCGGTCGAGCTGCTGGAAACGACGAAACTGCTCGAGGTCTTCATCCTCGTCATCGTGATTATCGAGATCTAGATCGCTCATCTCGTAGAAACGACCAGAAAACTGTCCCCAGGCGCCTTGCCACTCCGCGTTACGAGCCTGGCGGCGGGCTCGTCTGAGCCGCTGGCGAGTCCGAACATGATAGCCACGGACATCTCGTGGGTGCGGGCGTTGGACAAGCTGGGGACGCGGCGACTCTGGTTCAGCATCTGTTCGCTCAGGTTGATCCTGGGTGAGTTGGAACAAGTGAGCACATTCCATGCAATACCAGTCACCCTCGGGAATATGATCGAGTCCGATGCAATGCGTATGATAGGCAGCATCACAACTGTCGCATAATAGTAGAATATCTTCTCGCTCGGCCGAATTGCATATGGGACAAGGGTTGCATTCCTCCTCCTCTTGGTCGACGATGTTCTCTCCAAGCCAGGCTTGCACGTCGAATTCGGCGACTTGCTTTTTGTCTATGACATCGTAGGTAGAAATGGCAGTGCCTAAAACCAGTAAGTATACATGTTGACGGTCATGATTGTCTGGGATTTCTTTTTCTTTCTGGGTTCGGATGTTGCCGGCAAGGCCATGTTGGTTGTGGGTGGTTGTGGGTGGTGGGTGCTGCACGTACCATCTACACCATTGTACACGCGAACACAGTGGAAGGGTGTCCTACAGATGGGACAAGTATTTGTCTTTTGAGCCCAGGAACGGATGCAGGCATCATGGATAATATGTTCGCATCCATCTAATGCGGCCACTATGTTGAGATGGTTGGACTCGTCGGCCACAGGGTCGGTCTCGGCGGTGGTCTCTGGGGCTGGTTTGATGCCTGCACCGTTGACGTGCGATGGCGAAGGCGAAGGCGGCGAGGCCAGAGACGAGGGGTGCGGCAGAGGATCCAAGCAGATGATGCACTGCTCAGGTTCGTCCATGACGCCAGTTTGGATGATGCAGAGGCAAATATGATGAAAACATGTAAAATAAGGTTCGAAAAGAAATAATCGGACGGTAAAGGCGCAACGAAGCAACAAATCGATCTGGATACGGGAGCAGACGGCCAAGTGCTGTTTGGTTGCGAACCTGTATGTACGACTGAGCGGGTGCTAAGTGCTGAGTGCTGAGCGCTGTGTTCTGTCTCTGGCGGGTTCAATGTTGGTGTATTATTAGTGGAGCTGCTTGGGTCGGCAAGTGATGAATGAATTGATGGGTCCAGAACTAGGCGGTAGCAGAGACAGCTTAGAGTGGTGGCGATGGTGGGCGGGCGGCGGTGCAGCAGGTCAACTGGTAGCTTGAGTGAGAGTCGAGGACTGGCTGGTGGCAGTGGACCGAGTGCCGACTGAAGTGGGATGGGGGATGGGAATGGGAAATGGGGGGGGAAGAGAGAGAGAGGAAAGAGTCTGGTCGAGTCTGGTCGAAACGGCCAGTGGGCGGGAAGGGAAGAATGAGAGGAGAGAGATGCAGGCTGGATGTCAATGTCTGGCCAAGGAGCAGTTGACCTCCATGTCAGCTAATCCACAGCGGCAGTACTCCGTACCTGGGTAAGTACCCGGCGACCAGCAGGCGTTGAGCAGACAGACAGACACAAGCCCAAGGGCCTGCCAACAGCGTCTCGCCACAGAGGTGCAGGCAGGAGGAGGAGCAGTGGCCAGGTAAAGTACCGACGAACTCCAAAGTTGCAGAGGTGGCCGCAGGGAGGGGAGGTAGCCGATACCTTCAGCCCCAGAACACCCAGAGCACTAGGCGAGCCTGAGGCGCCGCAGCGCAGCCAATCAGCACCAGCGGGGGCCCCCCGAGGCGGCCAGCAGTTGATATCAAATGGACGTCCTAGCGGCGCTGCAGTGCGCGTTAGTCGCGCCAAGTCGGTGGTGAACAACTCCAAACGACACAATTGCGTCGACAATGTCGAGACCGCTGTAGGTACGTAAGTAGGCGCCGGCAGGCACCGCCAGAGGTGAATGGCAAAATATGAGATGGAGCAACGGGGCCAAGAAGCTCTCCCCGCGGCGCAGGCCACTGGCAGGGCGAGCAGGACGACTCTGTATGTGCGTACGGTGTCAAGTAATAGTATTGACTTTAGGTGGACGAGGCAAGCCGACACTAGAGTGCCTTGTGCGCAGCACGACAAGGCACCGGAGTGACAAAGGACGGACCTGCGTTGTGCCTCGGTGGTTTGGGGGGGAGGGCGGCAGATCCAAGACGAGGTTTCAGACGAAAGCGTGTGCGATGATAACCGTCGTAAGTCGAGGGGATTGATTGCCCGGTGGCAGCGGCGTGTGGGTGGAGAGACTGACGGATTGCTGCTTTTCCCTGTTCCCTTTCGCCTCGCCCGGTTATAACTACTACTTACTAATACTAGATGAAGAAACACAGCAAACGCGAAGGGGGGCGTGACTTGTACTCGTGGGCTGTTTTTTTTTTTTTTCTTGGGTTGTGTCTGGTGTAAGTTACATGCGCGGGTGCTCATGTGCAATGCGACTCACGGGTGGCATGGCATGGCATGGCATGGTATGGACAGGAAACGTCAATCTGATCCAGTGTACGGCAACTACTAAAATGAACTGCAGCGAGTGCGGCGAGTGTGACGATGGGGTCAACATTGAATGTTTTCCTCCGTGTGCGCTTTTGCACTGATTGCGCGTGGGAGTGAGTCCGTCAATAGCGGCATTTCGCAGCATCCAGGACGAAAACCGCATTCACGGGCCAGATTGGGCTGCTCTGCGGGGGGTTAACTTGCTCCATGCGTTGCTCTTGGCAGGTCGTGATGTCTCTCACGGTTGTCCATTTAACGTCTGGCTCTTGCGTGCAATAGACACCACCTACGGAGTACGGCTGGATGGCTGGATGCACGTCGTTGCCGCTATTGCTAGAGGTTGAGGGAGGGGTGGGGGCCCGTGACACGTTCTGCCCACACGCCGTCAACTACTAGTACTAGTACCCCATACTGCTAGTACTACTAGTACATACTTAAGTACCTAATGTCAAGCAGCTCCAGTCTCCTGGTCTTGGTGTGAGTGGTTCCTCGTGTGCGCTTGTCACCGCCATTAAGGTTGCAACGACGCTGTACATGGATGGGAGACGATTGGCATAGTTTGTGAAAGCTGTCCATGTTTACCCTTTTTTCTTTTCCTCAAGGGTTGACTCACGAGGTCACGAAGCGCACTGCTCACGGCTCTCAACAATCATTCTATTCTAAGCCTGGCATCTAGGGCCTTGGACGGTTTGATCTCCGCGTCCTGTAATTGACCCAATCCCGCCTGTTGTGTTTCTTCTTCTGTTCCTCCATGCCCCTGACATTTCGAGTTGGATCGTCGTCACATTCACACCCCTCGCAAGCAATCTATTCCACCTACATACATGATTTCCCGCGCATTCAAACCCACCCCAGAGGGCAATCAGCCGCCCACGGCCAATGGGACTCGGGTCCTTGGTAAGCCTGGCTCATAGTGCAAACATGCATTCTAGGCGACTTAATAGCACCGTCTGTTTGACTCCTCTGTCAGTGTTGGCTTGGAAACGCAGCCGCTTGGCCGTGACACTCCCCGCGTCGCTACGGGCCCGGCTGAATCCATGTACATAACCCATGTGTCGGCATGGACATTCTTCTTTTGTCAGGCTCGCGGCATCGGCCGACATGGATGCTTGGCACCTGAGCGGTCTTTGGGCGTGCCACCTTTCGGTATAATACTTACGACTGTACGGAGTAATCCACGACTCTGGCTCGCTGTGGAGCAAGCCAAATCGTGGTCCCTGTGGACTGGATATTTTGCAAACACTCCTGGCTTCATGTTCAGGTCACCCGTATAGTAGTTATGACGCAGGGATGTTCTGTCCCCCGGGCCTCGCTGCCAGCCAGGCCCGGAACTTGCCAGACCGTAAATTGCAGTGACTCATGCCGCTGGCAATTAAAAGTAAAAAAAGAGGGCAATGCCATGCCATGTTGATTGCATAAGCAGGCCCTCGTAGTCACAGCAGGATCCTGGATAACAAGGCGGAATAGCAAACAAATCATGCTACAGCTGCTCGCCTTGCACAGGCACGGGGCAAAAAGCCTCCGACTTGGACCGGGGCGTGGAGAGGAATGGGCCGAGGGACGGTGATGGCTGCATGCGACGAGGAATAACGGTGGCTAGGTAGTCATAGTTGCGGACATTGATATAAATCAGAGTTTCGGCAAGCGTCTAGTTGTTACGTGTAGCCTGGGCTATCTTGGGTGCGAGTCAGGGCCTGCTTGGTTCTGACGTGGTTGGCATAGTATTACCAAGGTTACCCAAGGCGTATTATGCTGGTGATGGGGACAATTGACACGTCATTTGGGACTGGACACTCGAGGTTCCTCTTTTTTCTCATGTATCATGTATGCCGCCTTATAGTTGGGCTTGGTTCTTTATATATCAGGCCGCAGTTGTTGCGGGAGGCCCAAGTCTGTATGCGACTGGTCTACTATGCAACTGACAGTGCTTTGGTATACAAATGTAGAGCTTGGGGGGGCTGGATGGTTCATGGTAAACCTTGTGCGTCCGAAGCCAGGCCAGCTATTTGCACGATTCAATTCTTAATGGTCGTTTCTGTCGCGGAACATCTAGTGCGCAGTCCAACTATGCTGCCTGTAGATAAAAACATCACGTCTCACGATTTATCGTCGTAGGCGAGTTGGTTGATGGTGGGAGGTACAGCGTGTCGGCAAAAAATGGGAAAAAGAAAATGAATGAGCCAGAGACCATGAAACCGTTGTTTTTTTATATTCCATTGCTAATCGACCGGCCTCTATGACCCAAGTTCGAATGTCGACGTCCATTTCGTCCACTCGTAGTGCAGAATTCCCCATACACCAGACCGAAAAGCAAATGCCGTAAACGCTCCTCTCCCGTCGTGAATGCTCCCTTAAACTTCAGCAATCTCCCTCAATCGTCGCAGAGTTGAGCGCATGGCAGCGGCGGCGGGGGTGCTACATGCCCAGTTAGTACAACAGACTCCAACTTTGATTCATGTATTTCCCCCTTCGTGGCCAACTCTCGACGACAAGGCTGGGTAGAATTCGTGATGAAACGTACGCAACAACGTAGGCACCGCCAGCGATGGTGCGATTGCAGCCCTTGCAGTTCCAGATACCGGTGGAGTGGCGCTTGACGGTGACCTTGCCGCAGAAAGTGCAGGTGTACTTGGCGTGCTGGGTGATTTCCATCTTCTTCACCTGCTTTCGCAGGGAAGCACCGTAACTATACGACAAGGTTAGTTTTGTTGTCTTGCAAGTTCAATCTCGGTAGTTGGCGGGGCGAGGGCGGCAGTCGTGTCGGTTGTCATGGCTGTGGCATAATTTGTTGTGGTTGGTGACGGTAAACTTCCGAGGCAATAATATCCGAAATTTCGAATCAACTCCCACCTCCTTTATCACCAGCCGCGTCCAAACCGCCCTGGAGCTTTGCAAAATCGAGTGTCGGGCGTCGTGGGATATTCGTGTGGACGGGAGGATAAAATTTCTGGCAACTTACCGGGTACCGTATTTACCGCTGCAGTCGTAGTTAGCAATTGAAAAGCAATACGCGGGCATGTTGAATATGTTTATACGTACGTGACACCGACCTTCTTCGTGCGCTTGGTCATCTTGATTGATGTGTGAGGGTTGTCGTTGGGGTGGAAGACGACGAGTGACGGGAAGTGTTTGATGCTTGACCTCGATTGCGGCTGGGGCCACCGAAAATGTGCTGGAGTTGTGATTTTCCTTAGGGCAAGCACGTGAGCTTGGCGGGCCAAGCGAAAATGCTCTGAAGTTCCACATTTCTGTGTAAATTGGCCTTTATTTTTTTTGTACTCAGGATGGATCACATGATCAATCAGGTGACAATCTGCTCGACAACGGGACCCGCAACCTAGCCTCGATCTAGCTAGTCAACGGCGGAGTTTCCTCTAGAACCTTTTTGATTCTCCGCTCAGTTATCACTTGGGGTGAGCTGACTCTGCGGCGGCATGTTACTTGGGTAGCTAAACTGCAACGCGCAGCTGAGAAGTAAACATCAACCTGCGCTATTTGAGCCTTGGCCCATTTTCAACTTCTGTCCTGCTTTCTGGCAACTCCCCGCTTATCCAATTCGACGGCCCACGGCCGGGGGTGGGGCGCCGGACTACATACATACGTATTCACCATCGCAAGCAAGGCAGCCACCTCAAGTCAGGACAACTTGACCTCATCGCCCGCTGCTGGGATATTCAAAGTCCGCAGTTCAATCGCTATTATTTAAAACACCCATTCTAATAACCGAGATTTTAAAACAGCCTTCCACGGCATAAATTCCTTCTGTTGTGTTTTTTGTTTGGAATTGCACTCGTCCCTGAACCCCTGTGATCCATTACGCCATCAATCACCAGCTTCCCCCTTTGATATTGCAATAATGGCTTTCAAAAACCATGGCCGTCAGTATGACTTGGTCGTCTTTGGAGCCACTGGTAAGCGTGACCGCGATAATTCGGTTATTTTTGTAGTTGTGGAAAAAGGCCGTGATGCTAATGGCTGCCTGAACAGGATATACCGGTCAATTGACAGCCGAGCATGTCGCCAAGTTTCTCCCAACGAATCTGAAATGGGCTGTGGCTGGACGGTCAGAATCCAAGCTTCAGAGTTTAGTCGAGGATTGCAAGAAGCTTAATCCTGACCGTTTGCCACCCAGTATGTCTAATCTTGGCCGCTTGTTCCCTGCCTTCAAAACATCTTGGTGTAGCAGCCACCGGAATCAGCTCTAACAAGCTCTTAGGCATTGAGATTGCAAATACAAACGATGAATCTCAATTAGAAGCTCTGATCAAAAAGACCTTTATAATCATCACCACCGTTGGTCCCTACTGCGTGTATGGCGAACCAATTTTCAGACTCTGCGCCGAGACTGGCACCCATTATCTCGATTGCACCGGCGAGGCTCCCTGGGTTGCTCGCATGATTAAAAAGTATGAAAGCACGGCGAAGAATTCTGGAGCCATCATGATACCTCAGTCAGGAATAGAGTCTGCGCCGCCTGATCTAATATCGTGGGCCATGGCGCAACATGTGCGGACAGAATTGGATGCTCCTACCAAGGACGTTGTTGTTACTATTCATAAGCTCAAGTACGTTTTGCGCCTCTCCAGAAACAATCCCTTATCCTAACTATCAGCAGTTCTGCTCCCTCGGGTGGTACTCTAGCCACTGTGCTAGTCCTCTTTGAAAAGTTTTCCTTGAAAGAGGTTATTGAATCCACGAAGCCGTTTGCGACATCTCCAATTCCTTATACCTCCGGTGCCAAACCGCAAAAAGGACTTCTCCAAAGCATTCTGGGTGTCACATCACGACCAAATCTGGGTCTTCTTACTACATCTATTGCTGGAACGACAGATCAGACCGTTGTTACCAGAACATGGGGTCTGTTACATGAGATTCCCAGTAGGAAGAAGGAATTCTATGGGCCTAGGTTTACTTGGAGTGAATACTTCAAAGCTAGAAATTGGCTCCATGGGATCGGTATTCACTTTGCGCTAGCCATTGGAAGCTTCTTCCTGGTATTCGTGCCCCCCGTCCGGAGTCTCGTGAAAAGATTCATCTACCAGCCAGGAGAGGGTGTCAGCAGGGAAGACATGGAAAAGGAAGAGGTAGAGTTTCGTGGTACTGCCACGCCCGACATTGAGAGCAATCCATCTCAAAAACAAGCCTTCTGCCGTGCCTGGTTCCACGGCAGTTTGTACATGCGTAAGTGCCCATCACGGCTGACGCCTAGAAATGTGAAATCATGTTACTGACTGACATGTGCGTCATAGTGACAGGGTTGTTTCTTGCTGAGGCTGCACTAACCATTCTTGAAGATGATCTTGATTTGGGAGGTGGTGTATTTACTCCCGCGTGCTTGGGACAAAAGTATCTTGATCGTGTGAATGATGCTGGCTTCAAAATTGAAGTCAGGACTGTTGAGGGCTAATTTGCGCCAGCTGGGGTGTCATGTGTACTGATATTTGAACATTTGCGTCAACCTTGTGACAGGGTCGTTGTCCGGTCAAGTGCGAGCTCGATGCTATCGGAACTGGCTTTATTGGCATTATTTCTTGCGTTTCTTGTTCTGTCATCGGAGGCAATAGTAACTTTGGCCAATTTCCTGTATTACCCTACGTATAATATATGTTTGCAGCTGGTCGTACGAAGCTGAATACCCTTCTCAGCTCTAACACACCGGGCCTTTCCTCATGGGTCAGGATGATAATTTGCTTGCATAACCGCCGGTGCCGCCAACGCATACTGTGGAATACCATTCGCCACAAATAACGCAGCTAACAAAGTCTTGTGAGTATGATGCGCAGCTACTGGTCGTTTGTGAATACCGCTTTCTGCAATAGTAATTGCGTTTGGCGCAGAATCTAGACTTCTGGCTCGTTGGCTACCAAGCACCCAGGTAGTTGTTAGCTTATCACTTGAGCCAAATGCGCGTAGAAATAAACGCTTCGTAAAACTGCCCTTGGTCTACTATCCTCAACAATGCGGCATGGCGTCGACAATGCGGACTTAAAATAAAAAGGTGCGCATGCTTATTCGCAAGTCGCGTAATGGAGTACGTTGTATGTATTTCGTACGGAGTAGCCATTGGGCTTGGCCAAACACTCAAGCCTCAACCTCACAACCTACATAGCCGAAAATTAACCAGGGCCATTGAGCATTCATCCTCCCGCAATCAACATGGGAAAAAACGATAAAAAAGGCGCCGAAAAGTCCGCCGGTAAGGGCAAAGGGGCGGACAAGGAATCGGGAGGCAAAGGCAAGGGAGCGCAAGCCATCAACGTGCGGCACATCTTGGTGAGTATTGCGGCCAGATCCATCATTCGAGGCACAGCTCTAACCTCGAGATGCGCCAAAGTGCGAGAAGCACGCCAAAAAAGAAGAGGCTCTTGCCAAGCTCAATGATGGTGTCAAGTTTGACGAAGTAGCGCGCAATTACTCAGAGGACAAAGCGAGACAAGGTTTGCCACAGCCAATCACTAGCCATCATCATCATCATAATCATCATCATAAAATCGACAACACGACCCAGCTGACAGCATGCTCAATTACCACAGGAGGCGCACTGGGATGGAAAACCAAGGGTAGCCTGGACCCCAAGTTTGAGGAAGCGGCGTTTGCCCTGGAGCCTAGTACGACAAATAATCCCAAGATTGCCGAAGCCAAGACGGAGTTTGGCTATCATATCATCATGGTAAGTTTCTGACAGATCTGGAGAATCCTTAACAAAATGACTTGTTATTCATTGACAATCGGGGCAGGTTGAGGGACGCAAGTAGTTTACAATCATAACGATACGACAGTCACATAAATCACACATTCGCAAAGACTATGAATATGAAATACCATGTTGTGAAGCTGAAACTTTTGTCTCTTTTTTTATTATTCTTTTCCTCATGCCAAGGCCTGTGCCACACTGAGACCTGAACCCATACTGAACCCAGCTGAAGTGCCTAGAGTACAACCGCAAGTGTCGTGTCCGGCGGTCTTGAAACACCAAGTCCGCACCTCTATTACCCTTCAAAATTCAACGCCGTATCGTGAACATGTAAATAACTTTACGAAGGCTGAGAAGTCTGGAAGTAGTTGAGGAGGATGGAGCGCTCTTGCGACTCCTCACCCCAGTCCTTGACCACGACGCAAGAGCAGTTGACAACCTTGCGGGCGTTGCCCTCACGGTCAAGAACGCCTGTCATTCGATAGTTAGCAAGAAATTGCCCTCCCTCTTTCTGAGCGCATCGACACCGAGAGCTGTGTTTTTAGGAATTCACATACAGAGACCGGCCCACTCGCCAAGCTGCTTGCCATCCTGAACCTTGATCAGGGGAATCTTATGCTCATCACAGAGGGCGGCAACAAGCTTCTTGTAGGCATCCTCCTCGCAGTTCTCGTTCAGGACACACATGTGAGCCTGGCGACGGTCGAGAGCCTTGGAAGCCTCGCGGAGACCGCGGGCGAGGCCATCGTGCATGAGAGCCAGCTTCAGAACACCCTTGAGGGCGTCCAGAACGGACATCTGGCCCTTGGGGGCATCGGCCGAAACCTCAACCTCCTCGGAGACTTCGGGGGCGTTGTTCTCTTCTACGTCCGACTACAAGTTGAGTAACATGTTAGCAATTGTTCGTTTTTTTCGATCAAGCCAAGTTCGAGTCGACTGTGTGTGACGGCGGGGTGCGATGCGCTGCTTGCAATATCCTGCCTTCCAAGACATAAATTCGCAAAGGACCGGCTCGTGTAAGATTTTTTTAGAAATACTAACCATCTTGAGTGTTTATCTTGTCGGGCGATCCTCGAAGATTTCAAGTGTTTGGTTAAAGGGAAAAAGTAAGTGACGGAAGTTTCGTCGTGAGGGTGGTGGGCTTGGAGGGACGGACGGTCCAAACGAGGATTTGCCGAAATCCCTGGTGGCCAAGTGCGTGGTGCGTGATGGTTTAGGGCATTTTTACGTGCACGGACCACCAGGGCACACGAAATCGCTCCAATTGGCCCCACCCACCAGCGAAACTGCTCCCAGCCTGTGTGCCCGACGCTTTTTTTTACGACTCCCACGACAGTCTCGCCATCCATCCAGAGCCGACAAAGCAACCGCTGAGGTATGTAGAATTCTTGCAAGCACTGACAGCGATTCGGAATCCAGCAGGATGATGCCTCTTATCGTGGTTGGGGAGAGCAATCCTGGGCGCCGCGACGGGTGAGGACGTGATTTGTGCTGGCAATGCTGTCGAAATACGTCGAGAACCTGGTCGCGGGACGCCCTCGATACGCTTCTCCTCTTCGAAAATGAGCGGCAGAACCCTCCTCGATAATTGATCCCTGGAGGGCACTCTTCTTGCTCACGACCACGCGAGGCTAACACCGATTTTTCTTTGGCAGATACCTCATTTCCAGCTCGACTTGAGAATCTCCGTACAACACCGCCAAAATGGTTCGCACTTCCGTTCTCCACGACGCCCTCAACTCCATCAACAATGCCGAGAAGACCGGCAAGCGTCAGGTCCTGATCCGACCTAGCTCCAAGGTCATCGTCAAGTTCCTCCAGGTCATGCAGCGCCACGGTACGTAACCCGCCACAAGACGCCTATTTGGACTTTTCTCTCCTGCACGCAGATGGATCCCTTGACCACCATTATTCGGCATGATAACTAGGGCGACGGTCTTTTTACGCACCACGGCCCAGCCCCTATAAGTTGCCGATAAATTGAAGTCCTGCGGTGGTCTTGGGTCTGTCTGCGAACGGGGGAGAATTGCCCCTGTCCATTCCAAGTCAATATATCCGAGTCTTGTCGCAACATAGCTAAAACATTGTTCTGTGTAGGATACATTGGTGAATTCGAGGAAGTCGACGATCATCGCTCTGGCAAGATTGTCGTTCAGCTGAACGGCCGTCTCAACAAGACTGGTGTCATCTCGCCCCGATACAACGTCCGTCTGGCTGATCTCGAGAAGTGGGTCGTCAAGCTGCTGCCCGCCCGTCAGTTCGGCTACGTTATCCTCACCACCTCCGCCGGTATCATGGACCACGAGGAGGCCCGTCGCAAGCACGTTGCTGGCAAGATTATTGGTTTCTTCTACTAAGCGCGACGGATCATCAATAAAAAGAATTGGGGCATAGCTGGCGTTATGAAAAGGTTATGATGACAATGGCCAATACCCTGAGGCAGCCATTGGGATAGTCGCGAAATCGATGAATACATGCCTTGGTGAAGCTGCTACACTACAAAATCTCGAATGTTCCTAATGTGATTGCGTTTGATTGGTGATATTGCCGATATGCTGAGAGCTTGATGCTACCAGCCATTGTATACATCTAGACAGATAAATACCATTCATTGCCGCAAATTCGAGGGCCCCCAAAGTACGGCCACCCAATAAATACTAAGTACTTTCAAATTTCAACACTTTGTGTTCTGTCGATCTGCACAGCACCGGAGTCGTCTAGTAGGGTACAGGTACAAGCCGTTTCATCAACGTAGAGCGTCTTGCGGCGTACTAGTACCCTCCATGTTGTTGATGGGGCGACGGTGCCAAAAGCGGGTAGTAGCTATCAGAGTGGCTGCAGCCGACGGCGCTCTCGAAAGTAAACAGTGATCCATGACATCGTCCTCCATTCTCGTTCCACGTTCTGCATTTTCAATACCCGCATACCAGTGAGCTCTAAAATAACTCTGTATCGATTCTAGATTTTATTTCGAATATCCGTGCAAATAAAAACCCTCCGCTATCCAACTGACCTAGACGGTAGAGCTCTACACGCCAGTCTGCCAATTGGAAGGGGATCTGTAAACATTATGCTGCGACGACAACTTACTGTTTTCGCAGCATTTATATTCTTCACAGTTTGCATATACTCTGCGTTGCGAATATCACATCAAGAAACGAAATTAGTGGTTAAGCAGACGGGTAATACTAGATCAGACCAGTCGCCGTTGAAGCCATCGTTACATGAGGTACAGAAGTTAGAATCGACCTTGACGTTAGCATATGAGCCGACGACAATAAATGATGCACGTCCCAAATCAACACAGGCAGAGGAGCTGCAAGAGGATTGGGGCGATGCGACTACAATACACGGGGGCCCCAGGGCCAAGGATGTCTTGAGCTCGGAAAGACACCCCATTCAACATCTCATGACGGACGCAAGACGAGAGCTAGATGGGACGACGAAACGACAATCCAAGGATCTCGAAAGCGCAGTGAAAGAGTACCGTCGGCGATATGAAATACCGCCGCCTCCCCATTTCGACAAATGGTTCGAATTCGCGAGGTCCAACAACGTCCAGCTCATCGACGAATTTGACACGATATACAATCTCATCACACCATTCTGGGGACTAAAACCGAAAACTATTCGAGCCAGAGCCAAAGAGGCACTAGGAAATGACAACGCACTCATCGGCGTTGCCATACGCAACCACCAGATTTCACACATGGAAGGCGGCATGGAATGGCAGCGCAATGCTACGCAAGGCATGCTAGACGGCTTCCTGAAGTATTTGCCCGATATGGACCTCGCATTCAATATCCACGACGAGCCGAGAGTTATCGTCCCCCATGACGATCTAACGAGGCTTGTGAAAAAGGCCAAGACGGAGAATATGCCCGCGTCAAACTCAGTCAAGAGGCCCACGAATGATTTTTCCAAGACGTCCCCTGAGCTGAGCGACAAGATGATATTCGAACAAGTCAAGCACTCGAGGTTCAATTCGTTTAGCCGACAAGCAACGTGGACTCATTCGCGAATGTCATGCCCCCCGGAGAGCCCTGCCAGAATTCTAGAGGAAGATGAGCGATGGGACGACCTTAGCCAGTACGGTGTTAGCGAACTTGGCTTCGTGTACAACTCCACGGCCATGGCGGACATCTGTTTCAGTCCCTCGCTTAGCTCGACATATGGCTTCTTCGACAGGCCAAACACATATAAAGTAGTGCATGACCTGTTTCCCATCTTCTCGCAGTCCAAGATCTCTTCATACAATGACATCATTTACCCTTCGCCGTGGTACTGGTACGACAAGGTCAAGTATAAGCAAGAAGAGGATATGCCCTGGGACGAAAAGGACAGCAAGTTATACTGGCGGGGTTCCACGACGGGCGGTTTTAGTCGCGACGGCGGTTGGAGGAGACAGCACCGTCAACACTTTGTCAAGAAGATTAATGCTGGAGGACAGGCAAAGATTGTCAATAACCAGGGGAGTCAGAGTAGACCAAAGTGGGCGGTAACCGAGGTCTCTCGCGCCGATTACAGCACTCTCACGGACGTTTCATTCTCTCATATTGGTCAGTGCGATGAGGGAGACTGCAAGGCACAACAGGCCTTTTTCAACGTTTCGTCTCGTGTGAATCAAACCGATGCCTGGGGATACAAGTACCTCCTGGATATGGATGGAAATGCCTTCTCAGGCAGGTTTTTAGCATTTTTACAAAGCATGAGCCTGACATTCAAGTTCGCCTTGTTTCGGGAATGGCATAACGAATGGCTTAAGCCGTGGGTTCATTATGTCCCGTTGAGCTTGCAAGGTGATGACTGGCTCGAGACAGTGCGGTTCTTCAATGAGAGCAGTTTGGGTGCGGAGGACGGTAAAAACATGGCGATGGAGAGCCGAGAGTGGGCAGCGAAGACGATGAGGAAGGAGGATATGGAGGTTTGGTTTTTCAGGTTACTACTTGAGTGAGTTTTTTTCTTCTTTGGCTGCGCTTGTCTTGATTATTGTTGGACTGACGAATTGTAGGTATGCGCGCGTGATTGATGATCAAAGGGCCATTATTGGTTTCGATATGTTTAGTTCGGGGAAAAAATTATAGGGTCTGTATATGTTGGTTGGATCACGACTTTTGATTAGAGGTATTTTTGCTTGCATGGTATGGCGTCGGCGTTGTAAATTGCATATTCATGAGCGATGGCATAGCATTGGGCATGGTTTGAATGCACTTTGGATAACCTGGGTACTTGGGGGCATTTTTGTTTCAACTTGGCTTTAAGAAACTCAATCCGCAATCATGTATATATCCCTGCGCCTACCGGTAATGATGATTACCATCCAATATTTCGCTATATAATCTGCAAGACAACTTTTGCGTATTAACTTACGTACAAATCCTCGTCTGCTCTGAGTCGCCTTAGTCCTCATCCTCATCGGCTTCCGCATCTCTTTCCCCGGAAGGCGAGCGTCTCTCGGCCACTTCGCTACCATTTGCCTCTGCGTCTTCACCATCTACCTCACCAACGTCTTGGTCCTGCGCGGGCTCCTCCTCCGCTTCCTGCTCCCAACCAAGAGGGTGATGCTCGTACTTCCTCATGGCGTCGAGCATTTCCTCGGTTGGGTCATCGACGGTGATGTCCAGCTGGTCGACGATTTGCTCCTCCTCTTGGGAAATACCAATCGTTCGGGCGATATTCTTGGTTCGCTGCGGCCGGATGGTTGACTTTTGCATGACGGGGTAGTAGTACATTGCTTTCTGTTTCGGATAGGCATCCTCGTCGTTGTACGCAAGAATCACCTCGTCCTCGTACTTGGTAGGGTGATCGAGCTCGGTCTCGTGAGAGGTCTCGTATGCTCGGACCCTGTTGAACTGGAAATAGCCACCGCTCTCGCCCTGGTGCGTGTACAGCTCTTCGCCGTCATGGTCAGGGTCGTCGACATCGAACTTGCGGCGGAAGTTGTCCGCTACAGAGCTGCTCTGTCCGAGGTAGAAGTCGTAGTTCATCAAGTTTTGAGGCTTGGGGTTGTTTTCGGGATCCTGCTCGTGCGCCTCGAGGGCAGCCTCGTAAGCCGCGTCCTCGGCCGCCGTGCGCTCTATCGGCCGCAGCAGACCGCTTAGAAGACGCGTGTCGTACTTGTTTGACTTGCCGACGGGATTGGTCTGGAACTTGACCGTGACGTAGGCGCCGGAATCGGGGAAGGCGTGGAGGTCTGGTAGGAGGGGGATGGCCTGGACGACCTTGAGGTGCTTTTTTGTAGGGTGCCTGACTCGCTTGGGATCTTTGAGGTCCTGCTGGGCAATATCGAAGCCATGGTCGATCTTGCGTTTGATGACTTGGGGCGAGTCGGCTGCAGCTTCGGGGGCATGTCGTTGAGGCTTCCGTGCCTTGGCGAGCAGGGCTCGCGGGTTGCCTCCCTCGTGTCTCTTTGGCGTCGATGACGAGATGTATTCTGTTCGCCGGAGGAAGGATACGTTTGCTTCGGCCACCTTGGGCTTGCCGAGAGCCGCGATAGGTCTCAAAAGCGCCCTGTCGTGAGGGTGGACGGCTGGAGCTTGTGCGGGAGCCTGGATAGCTGTTACATGCGTTAGTCGACTTGCGCGCGAACGAAGAACATTCAACTGATGGACACATGCGTGCCATTCGGGCAAGCTCACATCGTTCATCGCCGTCAAACACGCCGGGCATGCCCACTAAGTCCAAGGGCATGCCGAGCTCGGCATCGGCCTCGATATTCAGCGGCTGCTCTCTCGCTAGCCGCGAAGCGAATCCAGGAGTCGTATACTGTCCACTCGCCAGGCCCATATTAGGGATGTCCAGCAGCTTAGGCGGATTGGGTGGCGGAGGCAGGGCATTGGAGAAGCGAATTCGCGCGATGAAGTCTTGATGCACCATGCGCTCACCAGAGCGCGCCCCCGAGGACGACATTGTGCTGGCAACGCAAGGCAGTCAGCCCCGAAATGTGCAAAAATGGCAGAATGCTCGCACAATCTCGTGTGTTTCGGTTCTCGCGAGGTTGAAGACAGACAGAGTCGCAGATGGTCCGTCGCCAATGGTGAGGTGTAAGTTGCGAAGTTGCGAAGTTGCGACTGGGCCAGGTCGGGCCAAGGCTGGGGGAAAAAAGCCAGCGGGAGGGCGAGGCTGCGGTCCGACGATGCAAAGCTGGTGCGGCAGCTCCCCGCCGCCCGCACCTTCCGGTGCGTGAAATCTTGTCTGCGACGGCGGCGGTAACATTTCAAAATAAAAAACGGAGGCTCAATTATTTCCCAATGTTACTTTGATTCAATTTTTAATTCTGTCTCTCATCAACGGACCATCTCCAAGAATCGGGCCCGCATTCGGCTCTCGTTCCGTTATGACACCGCATTTTCCCAACAGCCCACCCACCATTTGTCTAATGCCGATCTATTATGTCCCTGCTACCTGCTACGCATAAAATGCCCATCACTCTGGTGTTACAAGCCGATCCCAATTTCAAGCCCGCGCAGCATCTCCCCATAACATTAACTACCAGCTCCCAAAAAGCCAGCATGTGTTTGTACAATAGACACCGAAAAGAAAACAAGGGCCATTGGCGTTTTGTGATAATTCATGTCGGAACGTGGGCAGGGGGGATGCCGTCCGCTACCTGTTCTCCTGCATAGAGAGACGACTAAGAGCTGTCTTTGCGGTAGTTCTTCTTGCCCATGGTAAATGGAACGTAGCGATACTTGATCATATGCTGAATTTGCTTGCGCACTGAGGAGGAATAGAAGTGGTCAGCCAAGGTGTTGTCCAACGTGGAAACGTCCAACGTGAGAACTTACTCGTCAGGACAAAGAGAATAATCCAATACATGACCAGGACAGGCCAGAAGACGGGAATGTTGAAGAATTCGAAGAAGGTGCAGAAGAAGGAGATGGCAATGGCACGGGTAGCCCAATACCAAAACTTGAACTCGGGAAGACGCCTAATGAAGGGCTTGAACTCCTCATCCTGCTTGGTCGGGAGGGTCCCTACGGCACCATCTTCCATGTCCTGGTCGACCGCATCGTTGGAAGGGTCAAATTTGGGCTGGAGGAAAGCCAGAAACAGGTTGAGCAGATAAATGCCGAGCGCATAGGCAACTGTGGGAGGAGTCAGCGGACCGTAGAATGAAAAGACGTCGGACCCTCAACATACCAATGTACCATCCCTGGATGAAGAAAATGCGCACGAAGAAGAGTAGTAGGCTGACGCCGGTTGCAACCCATCTGTAGAGCACAAAGGGCGTAGACTGGTCGAGCAGAGCTTGGTAATGCTACTTCCGAGTTAGCGCAACTATTTCTTGTTCAATGACAATGTTCCCGTCTCGTATACGACTGGCGTGTCGGCGTACCCTTTGCAGTTTGGTCGTGTGGGCTGTGACAGCGGCGAAAGGGGTCTGTTCAGGCTCTGGCGCATCCATGATGAGGATTTTCGTTTCTCGTTGAGACGAGGCGAGTTCGATAGGGGATGTTGAGAAGAGAGAAGCCGCGGGGTTAAAAAGTGGACATAAATCACGGCAGGAGACCTACGCGACGCTATCGCAAGGCCTAGCGGTCGCGAGCAGATGAGGGTGTTGAAGACGGATGAAGATGCAAGAAGAGAGTATGCTGGTTGGGGAAAAGGGACACTTTGACGGCCATCGCGAACTTGAACGTTGGCATCTTTGCTGTGGCGCGTGGGGCTTTTTTTAGGCTGTCAGCAAAAGCTGGACGCTGAACACACCGGATCGACTCTCTAGACTCTGTACTCCGTAGTACGTAGTGCTAGTATGGTCGGAGTCCTCGGTCTGGTCACTCACAGCCACACAATATTGCCTCCTGCCCCCGTTGTGGACATCGACCAATCATGTAGTCGACTTTTTCATCTGTGGAGCCGCCGTGCATGCTACTCGCTCCCTGTCCCTGAAATCCCTGAATGTCCTTTCTATTTGCAGCCTGGTGAGGGAACTTAATATTCTTTGTCTTCATTGCCAAGTTGACTGTTCAGGGCAGGGCTGTGCATGCAGGGGTTGGACTTGGGTGCTATGCTGAACCATAAAAATAGGGGTCTGTCTGGTGGCAGTGGCCAACAAGCACCAGAATGAATCAGTCTGCCCCATGACACTCAAAGAACAGCCAGTTCATTCATCAACCGGCACATGAGGTCTCTGTTGAGGATTCAAATGTTTCTCTCCGTGGACTTACGGTTTAGCTGTCTTCAGTGTTGCCGCCAATGGCCAGGTAGTCATCAGATATCAGGTAGCCTTTCCCAGTTTTGTTCACGTCTAGTTCCTATATACTCCGCGATGCATCACCGGCCAAGAATCCTCAACTCCAGATATCTCGCCGGCAGATATCCCAACGCGGTCACCACAAACGTCAATTCATTCGCAACATCACCGCCATTATCGCCAATTACCTTCGCCAGGGGTGCAACGAACCATGTCTGATTCATGCCCATACACCACGACACCACGCCGAGTCCAAACGCAGTAGCCGCGCCGATACCCAACGGTAACCTCGCAGGATCGTTCCATCCCTCGAGATCGTAATTCTCAAACTTCCCTTTGCGAAAGATGTAGTGCTCCTCCAACAATATGATGGCATAACTTGTGCACCAATACCCCAGGAGACTTAGAAAGTTTTGGAGGTACGTGTTGAGCTGTTCTCGCCCACCTACTGCTAGTGCAAGAATGCAAGCAAACGAAACCAGCGTCCAGACGAACCGGGGAATCAAAGCCAGCGGTCGTGCCAGCTGCTGAAACGACAGAGATGCGCTATAAATGCTAATAACGTTGGTATTGATGCCCGATAACACCAGCAAAGTGAGAAGAAACTTGGCAAATCCTCGTGGGTAGAGCATATCTTGAATCAGATAGCCCAGGCCGTCATGCTCGTACGTGTCTCGCCATTCGGTCTGAGTGTTCAGAGACGAGGCGACCACGCAGCCTGCCAGCATGCCAATCGATGTTGGGATCGCAATTCCAAAGCTTGTCATGAGGAAAACCTTGGTACGGCTGACGTCGGCGCGATAGTGGACGTAGTAGTCGCTGGCCGTCGTGCACCAGGCAGCGCTGGAACCGTACACGATGGCAATCAAGCTGAGAACCGCACCGCTTAACGTCGCGCCAGTGATGGAGGCGGGAGTCGAGTTGTCGGCGTACTTGCCGGTTTCGCCAAAGATGATGAGAAAGATGACGAAGAAGACAATCCACGCGTATCGTTCGTAGAACAAGATGGCATTGAGCCCAACGAATGAGATGAGCAGCGCCACCACGGCCAGGATGATGATGCCCAGAATGAGCGAAACATGGCCGTCCGAAACCGCTGTCAACGCAAGGCCGCCTGTGATGCAAGAAACAGCCGCCCAGCCCATCTGCTGAATGCAGTTTAGAATAGCAATGAGCTTGTTGGGCCACCATCCGAAGCTGTACCTGCTGACGCTCATCTGTCGCAATCCCGTGGCGGCACCGAATGTCGCACAGTAGCCTGTGACGATTCCGCCGAGAATAGAAGCAAATATAGTGATGAGAATAGTCTGCTTCAGACTCAGACCGAATTGCCACCCTAGAAAGCCCGTCGCGAAACAGGACGTGTTCATGGTTCCGCTAGCCCATAACAGAGCCATGGTGAGCTCTTCGGTCCAAGGCACATCTTTCTTGTCTTCCGCGCGTTTCCGAACAATGGCTTCAGATTCGATTCCGAACCTAGCATCCATGCGGGCTTCAAGGTTGCGCAGTTGGGCAAGTATTCCGCTCCTTGTTGAGCCAGCGGCACCCTGATCTGCTTTGTCACTCGAGTCCACGTCCAAGGCATCCTTCTCACCAGGTGTCTTGGGAACGATTCCCTGGCCTTTCTCTTCGTCCATTGACATCGTGGATATCTGGTCGTTTCGAAGAGAGGGGGTGAACTTGCCCATCCGGTGAGGTTTTCACTTCCCGATTCATTTGAGTGGAGGGTCAAATTAGTAGTCAAAAACTAAAACGGGAAATGGTGAATTTCTCATGTGGTGCCAGTCGTACGAGTTGACTAATCGCATTGTTCACGAGTTGTTGTGCTGGATCCAAGACCTCTAGCGATCCAAATGAGCTCCCCAAAGAGATTCATAACTTATCATTTTCACATACATTTTGTCTTACAACAGAAGATGACAATATAATTAAGCGTTTTAATAGTTCAAAAACGCCACTAAAGTGAGGCGCCCTGTGCAGTGTGCACCCGCTTCCATTTATTTCCCTTTACCGCCTACCATTTCTAGCCCATCCAGCATCCACCGCCTTCCCAAAGCGGCTACTTTACAGAACTGCCTAGCAGAGACTGTCAGTGAAAATCACGAACCACATTCAAAAGGCACTTTCATAGGGTGTCGCGCAAAAATTTTATTTCAAAGCGCGAAAGGAGGTGTTACAATGTCGGATAAGGATAAGGAGCATTTTAACGCACGCGCGGGATCATCCTACGCGGCGTCAATTGGCATCACTCACCGAACCACGCCATTGAAATGTTCATGGACTGGCGACATGAGAGTCAGGTACGTCGTTTTCATTCTCCCAATTTTCGTATGCTTCGTCTTGCCATGCGCTAATACACAAGGCCAGATTCTCAGACTTCCAAGTAAATGAGATCAACACAGATGGAACAGTTCTTCATTTGCGCACAATTGGGCTTGGAAACGAGAGAACGGTAAAGCTGGAACCCCCTCGTGATGCGTGCTGCGAGAGACACTAACTGGCTTCAGCAGCTGGAGCAGCCTCAAAACAGCGAGTCAAACGCCAGAAATGAAGACTCAAGTACACCACAAGATGAAAAGCCTCAGCCGGAGCAAACAATTGAGGTCCCCCAGGAAGACGTCAAAGTCCTCGAAGACCTCTCCACAGCCCAATTCGCCCAGGACCTGGTCAAGCTCTTCAACTACGGCAACGGCCCTTCATCCAACGATGCCAACACAGCTACCTCACCTGTCATCGACGACAAGCCCAAACGCGCTCAGCTCCACCAGGAAGTCCGCCGCATCTTCAAGTCCCGTCTTGAAACCACCACCGGCCACGACGGAGTCATCGTCGCCAACTACGTCTCCCCCCGCAAGGGGAAGAAGAGCAGAGGCCGTCGTGGTCAGCCGGGCGACGACGAACCAATGGGGGACTATCTCCATTTCACGCTGTACAAGGATAACCGCGACACCATGGATGCCGCCAACCAAATCGCCCGTCTGCTCAGAGTAAAGCCCCAAATCATCGGGTACGCGGGGACCAAGGACCGCCGCGCATCGACGACGCAACGCTGCTCAGTGCGACATCAGCGCAAGCGAGCGCTGGCAGGGCTCAACGGCAAGCTCTGGGGTATATCGACCGGCGACTACGAGTACCAGGAGCAACCCATTCACCTGGGCCAGCTCCTCGGCAACGAATTCGTAATCACCCTCAAGAACTGCAAAATGGCAGGCGAAACCGCCGCACAATCGCCCTCGGAGCGCCTCGCCTCCATGAGGAACAATGTCGAACCAGCGCTCAAACACATGTCCTCCCACGGATGGATCAACTACTTTGGCCACCAGCGCTTCGGCACCCACGACGTAGGCACGCACCAGGTCGGCAAGCTCATCCTCGGAGACGACTTCGAGGCCGCCGTCAACGCCCTCCTCCAATACGACCCCGAAATCGCAGCCAAGGCCGAAGCTGGCCAAGTCCCCGACGAGCCCTCCAAGAAGGACGACGCCCTCCGCCACCTCGCATGCATGCTCTTCCAAACAGGCAAGGACCTGAACCGAGCCGTCAAGGTCATCCCGCGGCGGTTCGCGGCAGAGTCATGCATCCTCCGCCACCTCACCCGCATGGGGAAGAACTCGGCGCGGGACTTTGCAGGCGCCATCACCCACATTACGCGTGGCCTGCGATCCATGTACCTCCACGCCTATCAGTCGCACGTGTGGAACCACGCCGCCAGCCAGCGGTACGCCCTGCACGGCAACAAGGTCGCAAAGGGCGACCTGGTCATTTCCGATGGCGAGACTCAGCCTGCGGCCGCGGAGCGGGAGCGGGACCAGGACGGCGACGAAGTCATCAACCCCGTCGAGGACGAGGAAGATGCACCCCTGCGTGCTCGCGCTCTCACCGAGGAAGAAGCCGCCAGCGGCAAGTACACCATTTACGACATTGTTCTCCCTTCGCCGGGCTACGATGTCATCTATCCGGATAACGAAATTGGCCAGTTTTACCAAGAGTTCATGGGCCGCGAGGAGAATGGTAGTCTTGACCCGCACAAGATGCGTCGCTTGAGAAGAGAGTTTAGCCTCCCAGGACGGTATAGGAAGCTGATGCAGAGGTTTTTGGTTGAACCTACTGTGGAGTTCAAGCTGTATGAGGACGATACAGAGCAGATGCACCCCACAGATTTGGATTTGATCAACGGTGCCAAGAAGAATGGGATTCAAGGGAAGAGGAAGAGAGATGAAGATGACCGTGGCCCTGCCAAGAAGATCAAGGCTGATGATGGCGAGGGCCAGGCTGAAGCAAAGATGGAGACGGCGAATAGCGAGCAGGACGCTACGAGTAGTAACGGTGCCGAGGCAAACACCGAGACAGAACTGCCCGCCGAACCTACCAAGATAGCTGTTGTCGTCAAGTTCCAGCTAGCAAGCAGTGCCTACGCAACAGTCACGCTCAGAGAGCTAATGGGTGATCGGTTGGATGAGGCTACACCATCAGACGAAGGGGTGGGCAACTCATGAGTTTGGATCTTGTTTAATGACATTGAAAGAGTTAAGAGAATAGAGAATAGAATTTGAAACCAATACCCGCCCGCACGCAGCACTGACGCCCCAATGTCCACAACCACATAAGGAAAAGAAAATTCCAAAAAAACAAGGAACAATCCGTTTTCATTCTCTCCAGAAATGAGACCCAAAAGGGAACACCGTCCCATATGCAGTAGTAGGTATGCTTTCATCGCAAGGTATCTTGCCACTTGTGCAGGCGTTTCATATGAATGCGATGGTCTTCTGGTCTGTGCAGACTTTGGTAGCAATAAAAATGCAAAAAATTGCGGTGCCGATGCTCATGTGTCCGATTCAGCATTCAGTGCGATTCGTAATCCCAAGTGTTGGTTAGGCCGTTAGAATAAACCCCTGTAATATATAGTAGGGTAAGAAGCGAGCGGCCGTGATGTTCTCATCAGAGTGGAACTGATGCAAATCCCTTTTTTCACGAATTGTATACAATTGGTACATGATATTTATGACGCTGGTTGTTACTTTTCCCATTTCCACACGGAGGAAAGATATTTAACCATGTTAACTCGCTTGGGGCGCATGTCAAGCATCCAGGGGTGCTCAAGCATCTTCCATGGGCTGGCTCGGCGATCGGGTCGCTTCTCTAGGCTGTGGAAATGTTAACAAGCGCAAAGGAACTTGAAAAAAATAAAAAGAGGGGGTAGGTGGTAGGTACACACCAGCACTCGATGAAATATTTGAAGTTGTCGCTCCAGTACACGTTTACATCAGGCTCATCCTTGAGCGTCGGCACCGGCTGCCGAACAATGTAAGTTAGCAAGTCGATCAAACCTGCTCTTGGTTGCATCTCGGTCCCATCTGCAGGGAATGGGAAGCGATTTTGAGCAACTTCCAGTAATGTTACACCCGTGGACCACACGTCAGATGTAATTGTGTATGATTGGCCAGTGATTCGTTCGGGTGCCATGTAATAACTGGTGCCGATGAATGTGTTGGCCTCTCCCTTAGTTCCAAAGTCGCCAGAAACCCCAAAGTCACACAGCTTCACGGCTCCATCTCGACACAGGAGGATATTCGATGGTTTAATGTCTCGGTGGATGATCCGTCGAGTGTGGAGGTAAGTGAGTCCGCGCAATACGCCCTCGGCGATCTTTCCCAGAACCTTCTCTCCTGTTCGACCATCTTGTAGCTTGACCTCTTTATAGATGCTGTCCAGTGACCCGCCTTCACAGAACTCCATAGCAATGGAGATGGTGGCGGTGGATGGGTCGACAAAAGCACCGTAGTAACGACAGATGTGCTCTGACGCGCATTCTTTGTTGAAGCCCAACTCTCGTACAATCTGTTTCTTAACATCAGGATCCGGGTTGGTAGTAATAATCTATAACCCACGGGTCAGTCCACGTTAGAGTTGAGCAATTACGAGTAGACGGCTTACTTTCAGCGCAAACACAGTCTTGCGTTCTTTCAGTCTACACCTGGTAACAGCACCCCCGGCACCTTCACCCAGATGACCGAGCTCCTCAATGAAATTATTCATGCTTGCAATTCTCCAGCCTTCATCATCAAGATCCTCAACATCGGCTTCTTTGAGCTTCTCCAGAGTCCAGCCAGCAAAGGTAGCGGAATCTTGATGACTGCCATCTCTTTCCATGGAAACGCCGCCTTCGCTTCTTTCAGAATACATGGATCCCACAGCTGATACCGGATCTGGAGTACCTTGAGTTCTTGTTACCGGAATAATATACTGCGAGGCAAACGAAAGGGCAGAAAATTGAGATCCTGCCGAAGTAGGATTGCTTGCCCTGCCGTCTAAAGGTCCAAAACTACCGGACCTCGAGTGGGCTGCGCTACTTTCGCTGCCGCCGTCGGCAGACTGGCCGGGTTGGATTCCTTGTGATCCGGGAGGCTGCTCATATGGCGTGGCTCGCGTGCCCATAGGAGTGGCCAGATGTAAAGTTGGAAGCGGCGGCCTTGACGGGGTAGACTGAACTTGTTGTTGGCTGCCGACCGGTTTCACACTTGGAGACGCCGGAATAGAAATACCAAGCCTCGGGGGACGGCCACCAGAGCGGCCACCGGGAATGGCCGGTCTGAGGATTGGAGCGGGAGATGATAGTTGAGGAACGACATTGGAAGGGGCAGAGGTTGGCGGTGCTGCTGCAAAGGTTGGCTGTTTGAGAGGAAAATTC